AAACTCCAGTTTAATCTCAAGGCTGAGACCTGGCAAAATACCTTTGTGAGTGTTGTTTTTCTTTTTTTTTTTAAAGCAGTAATGCACAAAAGCAGTCAAGTACACACAGAGAACAAAGCTTAACAAAAATACAATCCATCAGGGCTAGCAGGAGAAATAATCAATAACAAGGGTGGGGACATGGGGGACAATCCTTTTCACAGTGTCTACTTTCCAACCCTTCCCTCAAGATGGGAACAAATAAGTATTTTGAAAGGGACCGGTGCTTCCAATTCCAGCTCTTTGGCTTGGGCTGTTGCATGGAGTCCTCAAGAAGGCTTTGCCTCCTGCTTCCCTTCCCTTCCAGTCCTGTGAAAGTCCTACTCCAGCTCCAACTGAAGTCACAGGCAAACTTCCCATGTTTGGAACAGGATTAGTTCTCAGAAAGCTTTTACATTGATTGGGAGCAGGCAAAGCTAAGCAGAATTGACATCAGCTACAGCTTGCACCCTCCCCACAGATGCCCAGGAGGGAGCGTGCGCTCCAGTAGATTTTTTTGATTTTTCAAGGACTGAGAGAGAAGCTGTCCTGAGATTGAGAGAGAAGAGAAAATCAGTCCTTGCACTCTGGTCTCCCCCAATCCCACCTCTCCTCTCCCAGGACATGATCCTGCTCAGGGTCTCTGCCCACCACAGATTAGCCGGAACTAATTAGCTGCTTCTCTGTGGGCAAAAAGCCATTTGCTCTCTCTCCCTCAGTACTAGAAAAGTTGCAGCAGAAATAGCTCTATACATCTGCCCAGTTTCACAGATGTGCAGGATTCTATTTAGACAATTCCTTCATTTTAATTACATTTTCTTTTTAATATATTTATATATAATGTTCTTTTATATATATATATATATATAAAATTAACACAATATTCACCAGTACAGGCATTTCAGAATTTGTAAAGAAAGGAAAAAAAGATTGATTGCACCTTTTGGACTCCGAATGGGGGAATCTCTAATGCAGACCTAAGTTCCTCTAAAGTCCTAAAGGTGAAAAGAGAAGTGCTTCACTCTTTATTAAAGGATAGGATGGGATGGGTGGCCCA